AAATGGATTAAAGACCTAAATGTAAGACCGGACACTATAAAGTTAGAGGAGAACATAGGAAAAACACTCTGACATAAATCACAGCAAGATATTTTTTGACCCACCTCCTAGAGTAATGAAAATAAAAGCACACGAAAATTTGTACATGAATATAGCAACCCTATTCATAATGGCCAAAAAAACTGGAAAAAACAGGTGAATGAAGAAACAAACTAATATACCAGAATGGAGTACTATTCAGCAATAAAAAATAACAAACTTCTGGTACAACAACTTAAAGGAATCTCAGAGATATTGTCCTGGGTGAAAGAAAGATTATACACCTCATTCATGACATTTATGAAAACACAAAACTATAGTAATGGAGAACAGATGTTGGTTGCTGGGGGTGTTAGGTGTAGGGGGAGGGTGTGAGTATAAAAGGATAGCACAAAAGGAGTTCTTTGGGGAGATGGAACTGTTGTGTTTTCTGATTTTGGTGATAGTTTTATGAATCTATACACATGCTAAAACTCATAGAACTTTTCACCACCACCCCAAAAAAAGGTCATTAAAAAAATGACACAATACCAAGTGTTGGTGAGTATGTGGAACAACTGGAACTCTAACAGACTCATGGTGAGAGTGAAAATTATTACACCCTCTTTGGAAACCTGTCTCACAGTATTTACTAAAGCTGAGCTTATATATCCTTTATTGCCCAACAGTACAGAAATGTATACATGTCATCACCAAAAGACATACACATGAATGTTATCACAGCACTGTTCATTATAGCCCAGACTAGAAAGTATTCTAATGTCCATCAATGGTGAATGGAAAAATAAGTTATGATTATGTTATGATTATGTATTCATATAATGGAATACTGTACGGCAGTATAAATAAACTATAGCATACAGCAATATGGATGATACATAACCACACTGTTGAATGAAAGAATTCACACATAAAAGGATGCTCTGTATCGATAGCTCCCAAAGTGTAGTTCTGAGACTTCTGGGGTCCTTGAGGTCCTTTCAAGAAGTCTGCAAGGTCAAAACAGTTTTCATAATATTGCTAAGATATTATTTGCCCTTTCTGCTCTTAATCAACTAGTGTGCAGTGGAGTTTGAGAGGCTGTGTGGATCAGGGTCCAGGTGGGAGTCAGAAATCACACAATAATTTGAACAGAGAAGGTTTAATATAAATAATTGCTAACTATAATGGAATTAACTATAAGGGAGTAAAGATAGTAGTAAAGGAGGGAAAATTACTAAGGAAGGAAAACCTTTGGAAGGGAGACCCCTCCATAAGGCTGGGATTCAGACCTCATTGGAGAAGTTTCTGTAGATGGTAGAGAACTTTGCTAGTTACCCCTGGCCGGGACTGGTAAGTCAGGGTAACAAGCATAAAATACACTTCAGAGCACATTTGGGCAGGAAATCAGAGCCAGAACTGCCAAACAGCAACCACCCCTCCTGGCTTTAGGCAACCAACTCTGGGAAGCCAACTGCTGGGGTACCTGGGAGACTTACTCAGAGTCTGCCTGTGGGGTGCTACTGAAACTCATGTGTTTGGGTGTCTTCCACACACTCCAGTAGCAGCCACCCTATAGGAAGGAGAAGAAAACAAATGGATGCATGCTAGAACCAGGAAGGGGAGGTTTCTTCCTCCGGCAGTGTCCCACCAGCACCCTCGACTGTCAAAGCTTATGTATGCCTCTTGCCAACTGCAAAGGAGATATGCTTATAGGAGCCAGTTACACTGTCACAGAGCAGGCAGTGAAGGATATATTTGGAGATAAGAGGCAATAAATTCTTAGTGGGTTACTATATGAAAGTGATAAATCATCTCTTTGATATAGCTAATGTAATATCTGTTTGTGGATTCTTTATTTTAAAGTTGTTTTAATTTATAATGTAAATATTAATAGCTATAACCCATAGGCAGAAGAACTTTGGGATCCTCAATTTTTAAATTTGTAAAGGGGTTTTGAGTCAAAAAGTTTGAGAACCACTGCTCTATATTATTTCTTTTAAATAGGCATTTAAAGAAAGAGGTAAAAATCATCTGTAGTGCTAGTGGTCCAGAGGAGTGGTTACCTTGGGAAGGGGCAGAAAGGAAGCCTCTGGGGTGTTGGTAATGGTCTGTTTCTTTATCTGGGTGCTGACTCCTTGATGCAGTCACTTTGTAGAAACACATTCACCTGTATACTTATGGTTGTCAACTTGTTTGAATGTATATTATATTTCAGTAAAAAGTTAAGACTCTTCTTTTCCCTCTCTTCCTAACCCACACCCTGTTGTTAAATCTGTGTGTGGTGTTTTTGCTTTGTTTTGTTTGTTTTTAAAGTAGCACAACCTTACACTGGCTAATTTTCATCCCTGAGGATGAAAGACTCAGTTGGGACAGGGTGGAAGAAAACTGCTTCATAGTACTGCCTGTGCTTATCCTCAGCTCTGTGCTCCCTACCCCCAAAGGGATCCCTCACCCCCAGCCCCACAAGGACAGGTGGTCCCTCCCTGGGAGAAGCTTAGCTAGAATGCTGAAAGCATCTCTCGTCTTCTCAAGTGCTTTATGGCTTTCTCAGGTGGAGGGGAGTATGTGTGTGTTTACCTGTTTGAGATCAGTTATGAAGATTTTCCCATATTTTCTCTATATTTTCTGTTTTGCATTGAGAGAATATTTATGAATTTATATGTCCTCTGAATGATTAAATTCAATTGTTTGATTTAGGAAATTGTTTTCCTTTTTGTCATCTGTTCTTCTGGGTCCCAATAATTTGCTTTGCTTTCTGATTCTTCCATCCTGCTGTGAATGATTTCCATTTTAGTCTTCTTTGTTTCCAGTGTTCCTATAGCCTTGCTTCCTTTCCATACAACTTCAGAATTTAATTCTTTAATGTCATCCTAGTAGTAAATCTGGCTTATCACTCCTCTTCTGCAGACCCTGCCATCTCAAGAGTTTTCCGTCGTCTTCCTGTCTGCTCCCTGGCCACGCACATGGCTAGCAGTACTGTTGGTACATGGCGAATTTGCCTAATCATCTTCTGTGTCTCACTTGATTTTGTTCTTTTTGTTGCTTCAGTAAGCTAGCAGCTTTACAGTCACCATGACTGTTTTCTGTTTCCCAATTCTCCCATAATAATAAGTAGGATTAATTTGTGAAAAAGGATTACATATGACTTAATATGATTCAGTTAAATAATATTAGAAAGTCTTTTTCTGAATGCCCCTTACCCGTACACAAGCTATTCCTGACTTCACAGTCCTGCTCCAGTAGTCTGTGGGTCAGGTATACAGCATGCACCTTCCCATGAAAACATGAGTGTCTTGGCTTGCTCACCTACAAGGTACCTGAAGCATAGTACTAATGAGATATCTATAATTTGGCCGCCATTTATAACAGAGTTTTGATAAATACTGTCCAAAAGTAAGACCATTTGATATAATGCTATTATATCAATACTATCTGAAAATAATAATAAAAAATAAAATGGTACTATTTTCAGATAGTATTATTTGGAATGCCAAGAACCTTCCCATAATTTTCCTTCCCGTAGCCTAGGCAGCTAGTCTTTTGGACTTCACCTCTAGCCCAGACCTGGAGGGAGGGGATTGTAGAGAGGGTGGCAGGCTGTGTGGATCTTGGAGTGGACTGTGACGTGGACATGGGGCTGTGGTCTCAGGCGTCGGTGGATAGACAGTGAGGTTACTGGCGAGAGGAGAGGGAGACGTGCTGTGAAAGGGAGTTTTGGGAACGGTGAAGAGGTGGAAGGGGCTGAAATGGGATTTAATGAAGAAGGACAATGGAAGCCGTTTGTTTCCCCTTTTCTCCTGGGAGGGAGGAGGAACCAGTGCTGATGGGGCTCCCTAGTGAAGTCTCCTTCGTTTCTCCTTCTTTCAGCCCGTTTATTTTACCTTGCCATCTTTTTCCTCTTCTATTTTCCTTTTCTCCCAGCTGCCAATCAGCAGCCCGCGGGTGCCACATTTAGTAAGTAGGGTTATAGTGGCAGCTTCAGAAGAGGGCTTTTGTTGGTATTTTTTCTCAATTCTTCCCCCTTCTCTCCTTTCTCCGCTCCCACTGACAGGTAATAATAGACAAGATTGGAGATACCACACAAGGTTTGAGGAGTTTACGAGAGCAAGAAAAGAAGGTGGATATAGAGGCTGGAACAACTCTTAAAATTTGGGGCTCCCTAAGAAAGAGTAATACATGCACTCTTTAGGAGAGGTTTTGTCCTAAAACAGATGCCTTGATGTCTGGTTACTTAGTGCTGTTGTTGCCCTCGGTTAGTCTGTCTCTGGCGGTTTCGTCTAGCTAACAAGATTGAAAGAAGAGACCATGTAGAATTAGTATATCGATTCTGTGTGCAGATATTTGGTGTGTGTTTGGTCTTTCTGATGGTTACATTTCTAGAGATAGTCTGTACTAAACAAGATGCATGTGGAAATTTCATTGTGGAGGGGGCAGCATCAAGACTGTGGAGCTCCCAGTCAGGCCCTGCCGCTTCCTCCCTTGGTCTCTCTGCTTCTCATCTGTGAAATGTGGCTTCACATACCCCACAGAACTATTAGGAAGTTTCAGTGACCAGTACATAATAGATACTCAGTAAATATTAGTTTACTTCCTTTGTGGAAGGTAATCCTTTGCTTAGATTATTAAGCTGTTAGACTGTAGTGGTTCTGATTTTTTTGTCTAATGGGATTCTTGAGATACGTTCACTTTGGGATTATTATAGCCTTAGTACATTATCCATTAAAACGAATCAGCAGAAAACATGTCAGGAAAGAAGTGTCTGATTTTAAGAATATAATTAACATCTTTAAAAATAGTTTTAATCTAACCACATAACTTTAAGTAGGTACTATTTTATTAAACATGCAACATTAACCAAAGCTTAAATAAATGAAGTACTGAGAGTTGCACCACTAGAGCCACCTGCCTTATTCTTCTATTACCCCTTACTTGATTATGCTACTGTAACAGTTTTACAAAGGCATTTGCTTTGTCTCTAGGTGTAAAACAAAGGTGTATCCAGATAATCTTCCTACAACAAGTGTGGTGATTGTTTTCCATAATGAGGCTTGGAGCACACTTCTGCGAACTGTCCATAGTGTCATTAATCGCTCACCAAGACACATGCTAGAAGAAATTGTTCTAGTAGATGATGCCAGTGAAAGAGGTAAATTTTACATTTTAATGCCAATAATATGCTACACCTTTTGTCATTATGGTTAAAAAAATAGTTGCTATCATTTTAACCTAATAATTTTATACAAACTTCTAATTTATCCTAAAAGTTATTTATAACGTTTGGACTCATTTCACATAGGCAAAAAATTTACACCCTTGTGAAACTTAAAATATTACTTTAATTAGCATTTAGTTTGTGTCACATCTTTATCTTGTTTTAAAAAGAAATCTATAAAAATTTATGCAGAACAGTGAAAAACATACACGTAATTTTGTCAGGATTTTCTCTGTGGGAAGCTGCAGCCCTGAGTCAGTGGAGAAAGATTGGCTCCTACTGAGAGCCATGAATAGAGAGATTTAGTTCCATGTACAGTGGGAAGCATCCCTGACAGCAAAACAGAGCCTGAGCTGGCTGAGCCTTAGTTCTCCAGATTCTTCTTAGGTTTTCCGCTTCCTCTATTCCTAAGTTCAGGAATAATCTATAGCTAGGTACATAAAGGGTGACGAAGGAACTTATGAAAAAGTGGTATATAATATGTTTCTGATCTCATGATGAATCTCTACAGTGGCTCTTGCCCAGACATTCTTCCAAGAATCTCAGAATTTTTCACAGGCTTTTTTTTCACAGCACAGCTGTTCAGCATCATTGGTGTCATGTGTTTCCCCCAATATTCCTATACTCACATGAGAAAAATTTGGAGGGAACTACGGAAAACGGCTCTTCCTTCCTTCCTTAAGCAGCCTTAAACTTCATGACCCATGTTTTCAACCTTTTTTGTTATTATCTTCAACTTTCTCACCTCTCTGTCATTGCATCTGCTAAAATAGTTTAGTCAAGTATTATACCTTCTCCTCCCTGTGCCCACACTAAATATATACGTTTAACCGTGATGAATTTAATCATTTCCTATCTTAATTATTGGGAGTAATTTACTCATTGATAACAATTTAAATCTTCTTTCTTTGCCAGGTTGTAGAGGTACAAATGAAGAATAAGTTACAACCCTGCTGTTTCAAGGGCCTTGTAGCTTACTTCCTTAGTCTAATCAAGGAGATAGCTTATAATTACATAAAACATTTAATAATAATATATAATGTAATTAATGTCAAAATGAATGAGAGCTGTTATAAATTAAGAATACCACACTTAAATAATTACTGTTGACAGAAGTATAAACCCCACATGGATAATTGTTAGCTAGGAGTTAATTAATCCCTCTTTAAGAAAATTAGCTGAAGTTAACTTTAGCAGTGATTCATACAGACATCTATCCTGCAAGTGACTTTTACTTATATGTTGATATTTGTTAAATGTTCCTCAAGAAGAGATATTTTTCCTCAGATGAAATGATTTATTTTTCCAGTCCCCCCTTTGTTTTCTCCATTATTTTGTTGAGTGCCTGAGAAGGCTGTGAAATAGTAAGGTTTTTTAGGATGTGGCCTAACCAGCAAGACTTAACATGTCTGCAACCTGAAGTGACAAAGATAGTCACGTATCCCGGTTCTCTTTTACCTCCCTCATGTAGGCCCTTCTGAATCACCCCAGCCTTTATAAACCTGTAATTGGAAACGTGTGGGCAGGTGTCTGCCTCCCTGCCCCGTCGGGCTTAGTCACTAAGCAGGACCCTGAGCGTCACCCCACAGCCCTGATCAGGGACCTGACTCTTCTGTAGCTTCCTGCCTGGAAAGTCTCAGGCATCTGGGTCACCACTTCTGATATTTGGGAACCCCTGGGCATTGTGTTTTTGTGGTTATAACTGCAGTCTTGCTATCCAGATTGAGAATTATCTAATCTAACTTTCTTGTTTAGGTGGTAACTTTGGGCCCAGGAACCAGAGCCAGCTCTCTAAGTCCGCTCTTTCCTATTCATGAGGCACAGCCATGGCACCGTCATTTCTCACCTGGCCAATGAAATAGACTAATTAGTCTCCCCGCAAACACTCTCACCCCATCCTGTCTGTTCATGCTGCGTGCAGAGGGAGCTTTTAAACGTGCAGACCTGACTGTGTCACTTCTCTGATTAAAACCTTTCCTCTAAACAAGGACCTACTGTATAGCACAGGGAACTATAGTCAGTATCCTGTAATAACCTATAATGGAAAAGAATCTGAAATAGATATATATGTATATATAACTGAATCACGTTGCTGTACACCTGAAACATTGTAAATCAACTATACTTCAATTAAAAGAAAAAGAAGCCTTCCTTCTAAGGCCTGCAGGACCTGGCCTCTGCCTGCATCTCCAGTCATACCTCAGATCATTCCCTGCCCACCCCAGCCCCTAGTTCCGCTCGTATGTTTCCTCAGAATCAGGTTGCACTTAGAGAGGCTTTCCTGACCTCCTGCGACCGAGTCATGTCCCTCTGAGCACCTCTCAGAACACTCTATACTCCCACAGCTCTCCCCAGAGATTTACCTGTTTACTTGTCTATTTAATGACTGTCTCCCCCCTCCCTGCCCCCCAGACAGGCACTATGACTCCGTCAGGACTATTTGCTCACCATTATCTCCTCGGTGTCCACAGTGCCTGTCACACAGTAGACAGTCCAGAATATATTCAGTGAATGCAGGAAAGAATAATCTACCAGTCAGTTGATCCTTATTTCTAACTCCTTGTCTGCAGACTTCCTAACTAGGTTGTGTAGTGTGCATAGTCTGCTCATGGCCTCAGGGTATTGGATTTCACGGTGAACCTGCTGAGTTGTCAGTAGCTCCATTTATTAAGTATGAAGTAGGTGCTATAATTATCCCTATTTTATTGATTGAGCAAAATGAGACTTCACATAAACCTAGGGCTTAACCTCTTAACTGCTATGTAATCATGTCTGTCATAACTTTACTGTTAAGGGGTCTGTAATGAAGATGGAGTCTGGATGAACCCCTAGTTCATGTTCAAAGTTATGCAGTTGTCATCTCAGAAGGTTACGTTAAGATTTAGAATTGATATAATGTTCTGAATCTGAGATGACTATTGTTTTTTTCATTTTACACAAAAGGAAACAGAGGTTCTTATTTAAGTAGGGATTAGGAGTCAGATTTATTACACTCTAAATTCTTTGCTCTTTCTGCTGCTCTTTAGAGTTCTGGCTAAGATTTCTCAGATGTTGCTAGGAGCAGTGAAATTTGCCGTGACATTCACTCTCTGACAGCCTCACAACTCCCTGATGCAGAGATGCCTAGGGATCCATTTATAGACTAATAGCTGTAAAGATACTCTAATAAAATAAGATTCTCTCTTATTTTTAGATGACATAGTACCTTCTAATCATAATCACTTAACCCCCCCCATGGCTTCATTTTTATAAAATGAGGTTTGAATAAATAGTTCCTAATCCCCCACCTAGCCCTGAGTCCATAATTCTATATCAGGTGTTAGGAAGATACCTATTTCTTAGCCATATTGCCTGAAAGCCACAAAGACATCAAACAAAGATGCCAAGAAAATTTGTTGAATAGCAACTTTTTTCAACTACCAGACGAGAGAATCATGCATTTTTCATTTCAGTTATAGACAGGACAGAATATTATAACTTTCAAAGATACAGGATTCAGGAATTAGATTGCTTTGATTCTTAATAAGCACTTGAAACTGTCTAATATTTTGGGGAAGAATTATTGGGTGACGCAGTGTTTGTGACACAGCCAAATTTGACTGGTCTAAGGTACTAGAATATATCTCACACCTTACCACATGAGATTCTGTCAAACTCTGGACATAAAGCAATTTAAATTTGGATCAGGTTGGGTGAATCCACAGTCCTGAATTGTTCTCTCAGTAGTTCCCTTCTAGGATTTCTTGCTGTGGGTGAAAAGAGGGGCTTTGAAGTCAGGCAGACCTGGTTTGAATCTTGGATCTACCTCTTAATAAGCTGTGTCATCTTGATCAGTTCATTTAATATTCTGAGCCTTAGAGTTTCATGTCTAAAATATGTTTAATGACATCTCATAGGGTTGTTATGAGGATTAAATGAAATAAAATATGTAAAGAACCTGGCATTGTACTAAATAGACATAAAGTGGTAAAATGTTGTTTTTCATTGGGGTTGGCACTACCCTCACCTTTTTTTACTCAGAATCAAGTTATATATGTTTCTGACTCTAAGGTTTGGTTCATAAAATCATGGTGATCAGATAGGAGTTCTCCACATATTTTTCAGATTCTCCTTTTAGCCCAGATATTTTAGGAAGTGTATTAGCAGACATGGAAATGATTGGTGTTCTGGTGTAGTGGGCCACAGAGGCCTTTTTTTCTTTCACAGTTTTCATAGTCCTGATTATTCCATTATTGAATCAGTCAGGTCTTAACCAGTTCCAATGGACCAGAACCATTCCACTACTATTTGTCTTTCCCCCTCCGCTATGTAGGGAGCCCTTTGGATTCCCACGTTTAGTATTTAAAGAGCCCCTTAATACTTACACCCTGACCTTCGTTACTGGGGTCCCAGGACAGAGCTAGTCATAGGAGTCCTAGTAGCTCCATGTCAAGTTTTTCCTTCCGTAGAGAGACTGTCCTTGTACCTGTGGTATGGGGACAAATTGGAAAGGCATTTGATCACCATCTGTCACTTCTCTGGCATAAGCACCATGAACTAACCTGATCTGAAAAGTTTCCTGTCTTTGGTTTGAGGAAGTGGAACCTTTTCTGCTTTTTAAAATCAATTATGTACTTTGGAGGCAGGAGATCCTTGGCTTAGGAGCATAACCTCTATCTGATCTCTCTAGGATAGCTGCTGATTTCATCACCCATTCACTCTCCCTTTCTCTTTTCCTCTTCAATTGCCCTTCCCTCTGGAAACCTTTTTTACTTAGACCGACCTGTCTGGTAAGGGTTCTGTTTCGTCTTGTAGCTCCAGTCCAGCATTCTCATCTAGCTTGACCTCATTTCCCACCTCCTGAAAAAGAACTACATAGTCAGACTGTAATAAGCTATAAGACAGTTTGTTTCTCCCTTTGAAGAAACCCCACAATTTTCCGAACTCTAACAGCTATTGCGTATTGTGTTCTTTCTCTCTATTGAGGTCTGGATTTAATTCTCTTGCACTACCTTCTTTCTGTTCCTGATCCTTAAGCATGATTAGAGAAAAGGAGAATTGCGCCTGACGGAGAGCTGCTTAGAGAAGTGTGGTAACGTGCCTTTGACTGAGCCTGAGCCCAGAGGCTCTCCCCTAATTCCTCGTGTAACAAAGGAGAGGCAGTTCTGGTACATTCTCAGGAAATAAAAAGGCTTCCTATGTGAAACGGGTTTGTGAGTCAGGGAGCCTCACTGAAAGTGCTCAGTAGGTATGTGTTGAATGAATATTGCAAACCAAAATTGCCTTCCATCTGGATAATGCCAGCTCGCAGTTTTTTCATGTTATTTTTTAAAATTTGTTTTGTTTTATTAATTTTCAGACTTTTTGAAAAGACCTCTAGAGAGTTATGTGAAAAAATTAAAAGTACCAGTTCACGTAATTCGAATGGAGCAACGTTCTGGATTGATCAGAGCTAGGTTAAAAGGAGCTGCAGTGTCTAAAGGCCAAGTGATCACCTTTTTAGATGCTCACTGTGAATGTACAGTGGGGTGGCTGGAGCCTCTCTTAGCCAGGATCAAACATGACAGGTAATTTTCTGGAGTCTATAAATTGTTTTCAGTGCGTTTGTCCTAAACTATGGTAAGTTGCAAAATTCCATGTTTTTAAATAAATATAAAAATATTTTCCTTTAAAATACCCATGAAGAGTACTCTAAACCAAATATGAATAAGACCACGTTCTAAAGTCTGGAAGGAATGTTTGCAGACTGTCTTGTTAATGAGGATGGATTAGGAAACATGTTAGGATGTATACTATATGCTCTCTTCACTAAACGGGAGCAGAACAGATAGACACGGATCTCAGGGAAGGTAGGATAAAGCCCTTTACTTATCCCTGCTCTCCAAGGCTGACACTGGGGCACGAGCAGGTCGTCTCCTTTCTGTCTGCATCCTTACTGGGACTGTATCTCTCAGCCTATAGCACAAAGTAGAAGGGGGTGGGGAGATACACATTGTCTCCTGAAATGCTTGATTGTATATGGAAAAGGACTGTAATCTTGGATAATACAGGTAGAACATTGGGAGCAGTGCAAGCTCATGGTTGTAGTCTTTCATGATGCACAATTTTCAAAGAATTACCTACTGCTGGGCTTGGCCTTAGCTCCTAGATATGAGGAGACAACCTAACTTCAGTCTGCAAGACCTATGTTAGTTGAATTTCTGCTTGTCATTGAAGTTTGAACCAGAGGCTGTCTGTGTCAACTTAACATTAAGGTTTAGATTTCAGCAGGGTAAACTTGTACTAGTCACGTAGAGCATAGTGGGAGCCAAAGTCATTGCATCTATTCTGTTTGTAAGCAAACGCTGGACCTACATCTCTCCCCCCCCC